AGAGCTGGGTCCACTTGCTGAGAGATAAGTGTTTCAACAAATTAAGTCACGCGCAGCTCGAACCTTGAAAGTATCTATTTGGCGATCTAGCTAGTTAGTGCTATGCATATCCACTTGTTCAATTCTGACGCAAGACACTTATCACGAACCATCCACGCTTATAATATCCCGCCTCAGCCAAAATGGTCTTATGTCGGGCGCGACACTACGGTGTTCGAGTCGATCCGAAAGGCGGACAGCGGAATGCGTAGGACCGCAACGTACCGACTGAACAAGGTGCACTGATGTTGTGGCCGTGCGACAGTGGGTTGAGTTGCCATTGTAGAGAATAGTGGGCATATCGATGACGCACAGGGCGCTAAACTACACAAATGTCCGAAGCGCTTCGATGATCTCCTTCTTGGACCTCTCCATACTGGCCTCAGCCGCGCCCGCTGCTTTTCTGCTCTCTTGAACACATTGTAGGCGTTTGTTATCTTGAGCCGCAAGGTTGGAAAGGAAATTTGATATCAAGTGAAGGACTGACTCCCGTCGCTCGATCTCAGGCACAGTCTGAGAACGGATTCTCCGCGACACACGTCGACGAGCCTGCTCCGCTCGGTACTCTCTAGCTTCGCGACGAACAGAGGTAGCACAATGTGAGATGAAGACGACACGTCCGCCAACTGACATGCGTAGCACATCTTCCGGAACCGTGATGTGGCGTTTTGCATGAGCAACATGCACACCAGCCACGCTGTGCGTCCTGGAGGCGATCGATACAATGGGCGATTCCATTAGGCGGGGCATCAAAAAGCCTGATCAACGGTTGACGTGCCGAAAAGGCGCAATCATTTATTAGTACTGCTTGCAGCACTTGGCCAACCAACATTTCGGAAGCATCTAGACGCACTTGGTCACGAGGGCGCTCCCGAAAACTGACGAACACCACATGGCAGAAATCGTGGAGTACATAATATAATGCTCCATGAGGTTCATATGGGTGCGCCACTCGCTTGTGGGCACCACTCGCTTGTGGATTACGTTAGCGGTTGTTGAGCTTTATTAAGCTTAAGAGTTCGCATGAATAAGAAAGTGGATCAGCGCTGACCCCTCATTCAACTCTTGACAGCGATTAATTGAACCCAGCCAATAGGCTTACAAGCCAAGCATGGCTGAACTGCACATCCCATCGCCCGCGCCGCTCTGCAGGAGAAAGCCTGGCGAGACACCCTCGCTAGTTACTTATACGAGGAATACGTTAGAGGTCGCGTGTTTTACTCTTACATCTTGCCTGTTAGTCTACGAGAGTCATTTCTCCTCCGCTGTTATCTGTCCAGCAACGGCTAGCAGACTAGATAAAAGTTCTGTCGCGATGTTGCCCAAGCTTCCACAGACTCTACTAGTCGTGCTCCTGCATGCTGGAGTATACGTGACAGCACAACGCCGGGGTGGCTGGCGCGGCGGCGGTGGAGGGGGAGGAGGCGGCAGCGACGATGATTTCGACGACTATGATGATGATGATGGTGATGGTGGCTCAAGCATCCTCCCACCCCCTATTCCCGACCCAGTACCACAGTGTGACATGGGCAGATGCGCTTGCACCATGGTTGACGAACGTACCGACCAGTATGAGCTTCCGGGGATGTACTACAACGGCACCGTGACCATAACTCACAAACTCGAAGACAGTTCGGTCTGGCTCTTTGAAGACCCGGAAAGGAACCCGTCAGAGGACTACAAGTGGTGTGGGAATTATGATGGCAATACCAAGACTTACGAATACCCGGGTCTCCTGTTCGTTGGCAACACAGGAAACGACTCGGATACAAACCCTATCTTCTGGATCCTGCGCGGCTACCAGCCCGCCAACCAGACAAAGTATCTCGACGATGATGATGAGCCCTACCTCGATGTACGACAGCGTTGGATCCATCTCCGTTCTAGTGACTTTGTCGTGAAGGACGAGTCACGCAAGGGATTGGGAGGCCAATATCGCTACCTCGAAACTGACGCAACTGCCATCTACCGCCAAACAAGCGTCTACTGGCGCACCAACATCACCGAACATTCCGAGGACGATTCCTCTTTCTCCGCGCGGGCCACCTACGACCGCGAACCTCTCCTCACCCAGGAGAGTGGTCAGTTACCTGCCGCCGACATGACCTTTTGGGATCCCGAGGAGGACCATCAAGACACGCGGACAAGCCAGTATGTCACACTGAGTGATGTCTGTGATGCACTGCACCAGACCGTGGACGGTGGCCCGAGTGCACCTCGGAGTCTCATCAGCGAGGGTGGTGGCCACCAGCTCCTGCGCGGTGTTACAACCCCGACGATTTGGATCCCCCTGGGCACCGTGGCGGAAATGTCAGGTATCGGCTCCGAGACGGCCAAATTCGAGCTCAAGCAAGAAGAATGGGAGCGCCTAAGGCCGTATGTCTCCGGACAGAGTGCAAATTGCCGGGACGACTCTGATCAGGAGAAGTTCGAGTACAGTGAATTCTCGCACATGTATCGGCTCGGTCAACCGGACAGCATCTGGAACTTGACGCTGTCTACCTTGTCGCTCTCTTTCGAGGGTCGATTGGTTCAGGAGAACAGCACCGAGATTTCATCCTTTGGAGATGATGGCGTGCCTGTGTTTGGCGCTGAGTATGAGAGGGCGCCGAAAGAAAAAGAAGTAGAAATTCCTTCAAATTCTGGAGATGAAGCAGGTGGCGCGATGCGACTTTTGACGGCTCATCCTTTGCTGGTTCATCTACCGTCGATCCTGGTTGCAATAGGGGTTGTTCATGCTCTAGGGAGTATTTGAACTGTGCAAGCATTTCCATTCTGGCACTCACATATTAAAACGTGTATATAGGGATTGAAGATTCCCATGTTAGATCCATGACTCTTTTCATGTGGTCCTGTTGTGCCCTCCTCCAACTTCTGACATCCTCATCAATTTCCATATCGAAAACTGTCCACCCAGCACATTTAAGCGTCACCCAGACACTTTCATGTCCGCCGTTTTCTCTCTCTGCATGCCTCCTCCAAGCTCGTTGATACCATCTGGAGGCATTTCGTATCGCGCTCCACCGCCAACTTCCTGAGGCTGATAGTAAACATACTGAACCTGCTGCTGCTGGCCCGACGGAACATAGGCTTGTTGAGGACCGAGATATCCATTTGGATAATATCCGACTTGGCCCGGAACTTGCAGCTGTCCGTAAGCTGGGTATTGTCTCACGACCATCACAGGAGGGACGCCTCCCATCCATGGCTGGAGAGTGGTCCACAATCCCTTCTTCTTCAGCACCGATATCGAGAATAGAATAATGACGATGATCGCGAAGTCGATAATGTCCAAGAAGGCATTACCGCCGTATGAGGTTCCGTTGGTACTGGGAATGACAGGCCTATCGGGTAGGATCCACAAGGCAGAAACGACGAGGAGCCACATCCACCGTGAGAAGTTGAGCAGTGCTGCAAAGAGTAAATCGATGGCACACTGCCGACGTCTTGTGTTAGCTGGCCATATGAGAAGCTGGTCATGGACACAGTTGTACGTACAACGCGGGATGGCTCAACCTGGGCGTAGTAGTGCATCACCACAGAGGTATACACCAGAACCCCAATGGCAACAATAAAGTTGAGAACATTATACGCTCCATCAAGGCAGCGCGAAGCTGCGCCTCGAGATACCAAGGACTGCAGATAAGAGAAATCATCTTGACCTGTCAACCCCGTCGATGTCGCATGATAGTTAAAGATGTCATACCACTGCTCGCGCATTATCGTGTTCGCCATAACCGTGTGCGCCAGCGCAAGGACCACAAACACGAAGCCAAGAGACATAGTCAGCCATCTGAGAACCTTTTGGGACGTGGTTCGCTGTCGCTTGAGAGCAAAGAGCAGGCCGTTGGCTGTTTCGATGATTGTCATGGTCAGAAGAACCTGAGCGATGCGCCTGAAGAGGCTTCCTACAGAGGCGGTGCGAGAGTAGACGTTGTGGGCGAGCATGATGGTGTTGCGTCTTGCTCTGTCGTTTGGATCGTCCGGATCAAGACTGTCTGTGTCGCCATGGTTGTAGTCCAGGAACGCTGTTTCTGACAGGGCGAAGTCGGAAGCCGCCACCAGTATCAGGCCACTACCTATACAGTTAGAATCGTCTTAGAGCCTATTAACATCTTTGAAGAACCCCCTTGCGGGGTTTCACCCACTGGGATGCAGAGGGCAAAAGGGCGACTTACGGGACTTCGAAAGCGAAGACGAATTAGAGCCAGACGAAGGCCACGCGGGCTGGATCCTGACGACGCCGAACGGTGCACAGAGCAGCTGATCCGAAACAAAAGAGAACAAAAGCCGTGGCGCCGGCGACTCCAGCGTGAATATAGCACCAGGTCTGCTCAGCCTCGATGTCTTGCCAACTGACGTCCATGCTTGTTCGGCGAGTGACGAAAGGTGGTTAGGCGTGTATACAGATAGGAACGATCACCTCCCCAAAAATTCCGGAGAAAACATGTCCAGTCTTCTTTCGAAGACACTTCTGGTTTTGGTGCTCGGCTTAGCAAGGCACCAGGGGACGACCATATCTTCCAAATGGGGTGCAAGATGAAACGGTTTACCACGCCAAGGACGAAGCTGTCAATTTAAGGAACAGATGCAGCTACGCCAAGAGGAATTTAGCTGGGGACGGGAAGTCTTTGAACCGAATCTTACTCCGTGTACGGAGGACCCCTTTAAAAGTTCTGCGCCGCCAAGCTGCTAGGCTTCAGGGATCAGTAAGCCACTTGGAAATTCCTCCGTCTGAACCACCATCATGAGGTTCCTCGCCCTCTTCGCCGCGACTTCTCCGGCGATCGCCACCTTTTCCAGCCCCCTTCTCCTCAAGCGCCAAGAATACTACTGCCCGCCCAGGCGAGTACGCCGCGCTATTGCATAATGCAGTTGGTTCAGAGTTGCATTAGAGCTGGAATGGCTGTCACATGAATGAGTTGGTGACTATTTTCGAATGCGATCATGCAAGGACCAGGCAGACCCACTGGTAATGCGCCGCCCACACCCACCAGTTGATCCCTGCCCACATGCTCGCCTCTCCCGTTTGCAGGTTCAGGCTGGCTGGCTGACGGACAGACCCCATTAGACTCGAGATTGCCATCCTCCACCAGCTCATCGTGATATATTTTCACCATCACTGCTCTTCTCTCATCCTCCTGCTTGCTTGTCCTACCACAACCCTCTCTACCTTCTGCAGGCCGGAACTTCAAAGTCTACCTTAAATGTCAAGGTCGACCACCACATCAGAGAACCCTGACTCCATCCACTAGGATCGTCTAGGCTTCGTGGTCTCTTTCCTTTTCTCTCTCCTTTAGCAACGGGATGCCATCACACTGAAGAGGATGGCAAGCTTTGACAGGCTGATATACTTGTGACCGACTGCCCACTGTATGCGAACCCAGTCGTATAGCAGCGGATGCTGCGCATCGTTCTCTCAAGGGGTAGAGGGGCCCTCAAAAGGGCCCCAGCAAGGAGTACCCGTACCCCTACGGTAGTAGCAGGTCTGGAGCGACGCCACAGTTCGCTCCCAGCCCCAGGTGCGCGCGAACGCATCGCTAATGTGTGCCCATCACCATGCAGTCTCAGGACGCCCGTAGACGATGAAATCCATCTGCTCAAGCGTGAAGGGCTCCCTCGTCGCAGGTACTGTGTCGAGAGCGAGCTGATCCCGCTGCGCGAGCTCTTAAAGCTTTGCGTCAAACTCGGCGAGACTCGGAAGCTTGCACCACTGCTGCGGGCGGTTATTGTTGCGATTCATGGGCACGAATAACATGTGGGCGGAGCTGGTCTTGTTTCGTTGTCGGTAGGCAGCGCTCTAGGCGCGCTGTCGCGGCTACTTGTGCCGTCCGCAACAAACCAGACGCTACTCGTGCATACTACGGCATGGCGTACGGTCTGATTCCATAGGCGGAACCTAGCGCCCGTAGGTAACACCCGTGCGCCATGAAGCAACTATATAGATCTAACCATCGATCCTTTTATTTAAATAAGGTATTTAACTAGGGCCCCGTAGTCGCTTATCGTCCCGGAGAATCCGTTAGGACTGATTCAATTGACCCTCCTGATTCTGGATATTAGCAAAGGCGGCAGTATCTTACTATAGTTCTTTATAAGGAACCTTACGCTCCTTTGCTTTAATCAATCATTCCTTCCTCTTTATATTTATTTTACCAGTACCTTTGAACTCGGTACCACCATTGCCATTCAAACACAACCCAAGGCCGCGGGCCTGGCGCCCCTGCGGAGCCTGCGGATCGGTTGCTCAGGTGATTCCGTGCCCATTCAGCTCGTTCATCTGAGTGTAGATGCGCTGTGTGGTTGTGTGGTCATTACCCTCCTTTGAGGCTCGTGATAACCTCACATCTTCAGCGACGCGGTTGTCGCTGCAACTTCGGGTCACACAGACGACTCACCCGACTGTAAGGCCCCCTTTGCCGAGGTCCTACCGATACAGCTGATACAGCCGTGATACATTTCCTGCTGCGTTTTCGTTTCCCCCAACACAATAGATTTTGAACCGTCACTCATTCGTCAATTTGCCTACCCCACCATCAGAGCACTTAGCAATCTTAAGGCTAGAGCTTAGAGTAAAAGCTATTATCCTTTCCTGCCCCTTGATAGCCTTTACGGCTATCCCTCTCAATAGCCGTATTACTCAATATAGAATCTATAGTCTAGTGTGACGTTCGGGTCAGACTAGCTACAGGGTAGGTAGATCTGAAGTCGGTTTAACTATGAACTGAGTACACTAGGATGTCGTTGACTTGAGCGGTCGGGTCACAGTCTATGTGCGAGATAGTAGATCTTGCGTAGACGATTGTATTGATAGCTGAGGAGCTGGTAGAGACTGACTATGGTGAAGCGTAGCTTCCTATATACTGCGTGAATGTTGTGTAGTCGACGATAGTCGACTGTCGTCTACGAGCGCCTGTCTGGTGTAGTCGACTGTAGTCGCTGGTCGCCTACAGTCGTCTTCCATGCGTGGTGTGCGGGTGCCGCATGATAGGAGGAAAACGTGGGGGGCACGTGAGAGGCGCATGCGGTCGCATGTTGGGTCGTAACATCTAGAGACTTATTAGTAACTTAGTTCCTAGCTCTTAAGAAGTGATATGGGATAGGGAGATAACCTACTATTAACGTCTTCATACTCTATCTTAATACCGTTAGGCCTTAAGCCAGATGGTAATAGGACCATAGGGTTCGGGGCGCGAGTAGTTAGGGAAGCCGGACCGGAACCGTACTTATCGTTAGTGCAGCACGGACTGGACACATTGGAGGGCACGGAGGTGGTAAATGCGGCGGTAGCCCAGCTCTCATAGCTGGTACCGTTTGAAGGTACTGATGAGTGTGCATTGCCAGCAAAGGGTCCATAGCCCGCCGATGTGTAATCGGGCAGGCTGCCAGGCGGCGGTGGTGGTGGCGCGGTGCAGTCGGCGGACGGATAAGGCGAGGTCCTCGGACTGGCGAGGGTAGCGGGCGTTGAGTAAGACGCAGCAGGCAGATAACTACTCGAGTGGTGCGAGCTTAAGAGACCAACTGGTTCCCGGAGAGAGCGCAGCTCCTCCTTAAGCATGCGGTTTTGGCGAAGAAGCTCCTGGACTGGCTGATCGCGTGAGTGAACACGTCGAAGCTCATCAAGCTCGGCTCCTAGGCGCTCAATGTGCTCCTTAGTGCGGGCGCGGATGGCACGCTGTGCATCCCTGTCGTTGGCGCGTTTGCGAGCGAGCTGTGCAGGGGTGAGCGTCGAGACTGAGCGAGTGCCTGCAAGTGCCAACGTCAATATGTATTATCTCTACGGAATCCGGAGGGAACTAGGAACGGGGGCGAGTACTGACCCTTGCGCTTGGAAACCTTGTTGTGTTCGGCAGACGACAATCGCTGCATGTATGTAGAGGAAATGGCTTTGTTATTAATAGCAAGAGCCGATGTTGGCCGGGAAACGGATTGATTCGACGGGGACGCAGATATGATGCTTGCTGCTGATGTGTGGCGCTGATAAGTCTGGTTGCGAGAGACGAGAAGCTGTGTCACCACGCGCAGAGGAGTCGCAAGTGATGAGACTGTTTCTCGACAGCCGTGTGACTGGCTGGGCGTAGGCAAGTTGGGGTCGAGGGATTTTTTGTGGTTTGGGAGATGTTTAGATACCGTTACACGTTTGTCGTAGCGATATGTATGCGGAACGTAGTAGATGTAGTCGAGCTGAGGTTAGGTCGAGATGTCCCGGTGTTCTTTTCTCCTCTGCGATAGTGTAGGTGAGAGATCTCCATCGCTCCTGCTTGGTCCTGTTGGGAATGGAGATGTTATACAAGGGGCACCCGAATTCGTGCCTTCCTTGCCTTGAGTGCCTACCTTGCTGCTGCTCCCAGCCACAGGGCTCGCATGAAACTTAAAACCAAGGGTATGTCTCTATCGACACAAAGCGGATGGAGGTGTGGGTTCCCTTCCAGTCTTCTCGTGGCATGGTGTGTACTTTGTCGAGGGGTGCAGCTCTTGCGCTGAGGCATTCGGTACGTACCCCAATCACTGGTTTCCTGAGGCTGGGTCAGTCTGTGACCCACCCACACTGGGAGCCTACAGCAGTACAGTAGCTTCGCCTTATAGTGGCACGGGGGACACAGGGAGGGGGGCTTCCGATGAGGCTGAGGGCTCGGCGTTGAGGTGTCTTCATGCAGGCACTACTTATCATGGAGATGTCACCGGGGCCGCGGTTGACACTAGTCCTTTACAGTTTGGCGGATTTAAGAATACCATTTCTCTACGAATCTTTAGCTCTCCACGGATCATCAGCCGTGAATGTAATTAGAAGGAGTATTGCACAATAGCGCAACTATCTAGACTACGTTAGTAGCTTAATTAGTATCTGGTGTCTGTGTTTGTCAGGTAGCTCAAGATTCGCAATTGAGCAACGCCGTCACAGCGTCGTGGCTTCAGAGATTGTCTTGATGACGTTCTAGTTTTGCAATATGAGCGCCTGTGGAGGCAAATTGAGTGCCGATGGCTTTAGCCTCATTTTAAAAGCCGACAATCAACGACGTCGACTACTTCCTGACAACCAGCACATCAACTACTGCGTCTGGACACAGCTAGCAGTAGGTGACACACAATTCGATCATCGTTTCAACCGCTCGTACAACAATCCCAGATCGCGCTACTATCTTAGCACCTACCAAGTAGTGACCCACCTACCCGGAGCCCCTTCTCCGGACCCAGCACGAACAGCACCGATCGTATGCTGCGTTAACGGCAAATGGGAGCCTTTAATCCAGACTTACCGATCGGGGAAAGAAGGAATTCAACCCCTACACTTCCCTTAAACGCAAATTAGGAGCCCGAGATGTTTCATGACGACAACTCCAGAAGAATATGGGTGGCGTCATGGACATTCATGACGCACGACGATGACAATGCGTCTTGAGCATGCTTGTATAAGATATGTAGGATTCGATTCGATCCCTGGGGCTCGTGCTCCCCTGCGAACTTCCCATCCAGATCGCGTACGCTGGGGACGATTATGCCAGAAGGTACACAGGGCTATGCTCGATAGGAGGGTATCCGGATGTCCTTCCAGGTATCTCCTAGTGCTCAGCACCGATGAGTGGCCCGTTTGAAATTGTTTGATTCTGCGGGCGGATCGGGGCCGGCATCGGGCTTCAAGGCGAGGATTGAGCTGGCTTTTGGGCATCAAAAGGATGCTAGTGATGTGTGAATGAGTGGGAGTGCAATATCAAGCTTCGTTCTGGTCATTCCTCCACGAGTTGGCCTCCATGTAGAGCCCTAGTCGGTACCGCCCAGTTGTGACAATGCTGCACGTTTCTCGAGATATGATTCGTCCTCCTGCAGAGGTGCAGCCATCCGTATGCGGGGCCATTACGCGATGTCTGTCGATCCACTCATCGAGTAATCTTAATCGAGTAATCTTAATCTTAGTCGCCGGCGATCGGTTGATCGCCGTGTTATCACAACGGCGGGGTAACTCAGATGAGGTACGTCCGCCCCTCGCCAGCTGATGTGCGTTATGTCCTAGCGATCTTTCTGTCTTTTGCCGACTCATATCATTCTATTGTCGCTAATGTTGGAGAGTTCCCGGGCGCTTCCACAGTGGTGAGACCTCGCCAATTGCTCCTCCTGAGTCTCATGACAACTACAGGGTGTTGCAGGCTATGCGTTAGTTCAACATCATTAACCCTGGGGTTTCAGGCCAACGAGATGGTTATGTGTATAAAAGATCTATAGTGAGAGGGTTATTCCCGGCGAGACCCTGTGATGCTAATTGACGAGCAAAACCTCCACCGGCTCGGTCACTGTCCCTTGTGCGGTACACAAGATCTAGTCATGGGACATACACAATAAAGAGCAGGAGCGCTAGCCAATGTGGTCCTCCTAGAACGCGTTGTCGTTGGAGAGTCCGAAGCTGCATGAGTGTTATAGGCTGAGCGCTCTATGACACGAAGAGCGTAATAAGCGATCTCCAAGAGGAGATGTTTCGAGGGCTTGTCAATGTCATCCACCTCGGGTCCCCATTGATTGTTGGAAGAGCTCCTAGGAACAGTGTTAGCCAGTGTTCAGCTGCAAACGCGGGATGTAGGACCCACATGAACTCGCGATAGAAGATTTATACCGACTAGCTTGCAACCTTCCTCGATATCGAGTCGGAAGAAAGACTGCTCAACGTGACATGCGGCGCCTTATAGCAGTCCTTTCCCATGGTTTGCCACAAACCACAAGCGCATATGTGTATCTCCCATGACGCACTTGGACACTGACTCCACCATTACCGTGAAGCTAATCAAAGAGCAGACTGGATAGCGAAGTTGTCATGCTCCCACGGCGGGTTTAGCATCTATTTCTGGCCGCCGCAACGGTGGCCGGGGCATGTCCTGCATTCGCGGAGCGACCGTTACCATTCATTACTCGACAGAGCGCAGCGCGTTCTCGCGCACGGTATAAATCTCCTGTGCAGTGGCCATGTTGCAGCTTCCTTTTATGATCCCGTTCGAGTAGTTGATCTGTGAGGGCGGTTCTGAGGTTTCCTTGAGAAGCGCACAATATCTCCCCGCGCCGAGCCTCGCGAGACGCAACATCATAGCTCACTCCTGAGAGCTGCTTCGTCCTCAGACTCAAGGTCTTCCTCCGCGAAAAGTCGTATTTATGCCTTTCTCCCTCGAGAATCTCCGGGAGCGGTACCACAATATCTCCCCCGACAAGCTAGGGATACTAGCGGGTTCGTCATTCTCTTGAAACGCTACAACCACCAAGGCAGATGCTTGTAGGAAAGCCCAATCAGGCGAATTGGCTATGCAGCCACTGCTACCGGTCGTTCGCATCGAAGCCAACTCTTGCTACTACTTACAGCCATAGAGAGGATTTAGGAGGAAGATCCATAGGGAAGTCATAAAAGTTGAACACGCGGATATCACTTGGCTCCTGTGAATGTATGAGCGGGGTTCCCATCGCGAGAAATAAAGTTCACATCATTGCTGGCTGAGCAAGAGGCGAATCTGCAATGCACCCTACAAGGAGCCTCGGAGCAGACACCCATTCACCCCCAGTCGGCCGCTGTGAGTTGATGATACTCAATACGCGTATTCACGCCGACGCAACCTTTAGGGATTTGTCATCGAACAGATGCGTCATACTATACACGAGCGGCTTGTTGGGAGTGGTAGGCGCAGACATGACTCGCCACTGTTACACTGCGAGTGTCATGTTGGGCGACGAAAACGGGGAATGGGCACATAAGTTAGTAACACCACGGAAAGGCAAAAAGCCAGGAACGGTGAACCCTCGCATTCCATTAAGTACATCCAGCCCTCTGCATGGTGTTTTCACGGTTCCCTGCCCTGATGCGATCTGTCCATACCTTAGGTGTACTACGTAGGTACGTAGCGCCTACGTCAGTAGATCTGGTCTGCGGTAGATCTGGCATTAGCACGCCGATGCTAGCGGCAGGAGTTCTCCATGGTTATTGGCAGGGATGCAGGGATTGGCAATTGATGGATGGGAAGTCGCAATCTTGACGAGGGCAGGAGGTGGTCAAGCAACGCTAGCTCTTGCAAACTTGCGCATCATAACGGCGCAATGACGGCGGGTGTGGCGCACATAGCGAGTCCCCACGAGTGGGACTAGTGGTAGTAGTAAGTAAGTAGGCAAAGGCCTGGAGAACAGAAATGGCCCTGGCCCGTAAGATTTTGTTAGGACTCGAACTTAAAAAAGATGGGATTGGAATGACGGCACTAGCCACCAGCTAGCCACAGATGCATTATATCAATCGCCATCAGGGCACGGCTTGCGAGATACCTTCCCGCATGTCTGTATGCTTCATACCTGATAGGTTGCGAAGACGGCTATCCGGGGCAATGTGCGCGGAGTGAAATAGAAGTACCTGACAAGGAATACAAGGCAGAGACCTTCGTTGGCCTTGTCCGCCAAACGTCGGCCAGCGCGTGCCTGACGATACACAGTTGGGGAAGAATAATTAGTTCACGGACAGCTTTTTGATGCCAGATCTGCATCAGATCCGATCAGGTCGGCTGCATCGATGAGAAAGGTGGGGGTCCGCGAGACAGACCCCGTCGTTAGTGTACCGTTTAATTTACTAGTATGCATGGAATCCGGATACCGTCCGACCTATGTTCGTCAGGCTACTGCCGTCAACGGTCCTCAGTCCGACGAATATCGCTGCGGAGCGTTAGTCCCGCCTGGCTGCTGCTTTCTCTGCGCCCATGCGAGGTAGCCAAGGCAATGGGACATGTTGGACAATTGCATGTTTGTTTGCTGCTGTTGCTGTTGCGACCGGTGTGCAATAATGCACGTTGCACCAGCCTGGCCAGCCGATTTTTCAGGGCCCCGAAACGGTGGATGTTGCCCATGTTGTATCGGAATTGATATTTCGTTCATCACATCACAAGCAGGCTGTGTTGCGATGGCTGCACCTAGCTGGCCAGTAGCCACCATCGCACGAGGATCACATCCCTTTGATGCTAAGTTGGGATCCAAACTGCCCGGATCGGTCTCTAGCAGCCTTCATGTGAATAGTCGCTGGATCGTCGCCGGCATTAGGTATGATTCTTGGGCGCCATGACCACAATTAGACTTGGTGAGTTTGGGGAATGGCGTCAGAATATCGCTGGGCGCTGGCGCGCGAAAGGGGCTTTTTTTTCTTTTTTTCCCTCTCGACTGTCTGCTCTACGTATTGAGTTTTGCTGCGTGAGTTGGAGGCTGCAACTACAGGACGATGACAGGTCACGGTAGAGGGAATTAGTGGGGGCTAGGCTAGGCTAGAAATTTCCACCTGCGGGGGACCAGATGACCCCGCGCGATAGAATAAGTTGGGCAGAAGCTGCGCTTCAAATTACGTAAAAGTGTCTAATCCTTTTGTCGTATTTTCAATTCCCTCGGAGACTCGGCAAGACATGGGGTGAAAAAGACTTAATGGACAGGAGGATGAGGAGTCTCGTTTGTGTCTTGATAGTTGCACCAGTCACTGTCACAGGAAAGATGGCAGAGTTAGGTCTGCTGCTACCTGGGGTACGAGGCAACGCTAGTCCCAAACCATATATACTCAACGATCTGGTGATAGTCACTACCGCAGTGATGAGATCATCAGCCCATATAGGGCTAGATACTATCCAAGCGACTACATTCACGATAAGGCTCATCAACGGGGAGGCAAGATCTCGAGAGCAAAGGTATAACAGAATAAATAGTCAACTCTGTCCCCTCGAAGGGGGCCTCCGGTGTGCGGGCCTCCGATTATTCCTCCGCGCGACCAGCCCTTCCCAGTTGTATCACGTTTACTCCCTCCACCATGTTTTGCCATCTTGCCGACGAAATCCGACTTAAATCGGTCAAAGAAATCCCTGTCCTGTAATGAAGCGGACCCCACACTCGGGACGAAGAGAAGTCCCCGATATGTTCTAAAATCAAACGCCGAGAAGCAACGCTACCAACGCCGTAGGACTTTGTTCGTGTGCAACGCAATATCGTTCCCGAAGAGGAAAAAAAAATTAAAATAAAAAATTGCACGACTCCGCCCAATGGCCGGCCTGAATTGCTTCATTGACTCTAACAAGCATGCAATCGTCCCACCCGCAGCTGTAAAAAGCGACGCGGGGATCATCATAGACCTCTCGAAGGAGAATAGGTTGGCCTAGGCCGTGGAGACCGCGAGGTCGGTCCCGCGGTGCCAAAAATAACTTGTGAACAGTACTAGAAAATCCGTAAACGTTGTGAAAAATCAACCGAGTGTGTTGGTGCTTTTCGCCCTTCTTGATTTGGGTTGGCCTTCACTCCTGGCTCGACCACACGTTGTCGTTGAGGAAGCTGTCCCACGCAGGCTCCTCGGTGCGGTACTGCCAGTTAGCATCTTCTGCCATGGCGTCGGCAAACATGTTGTCAGCGGGCGGCTGGTCGTACTCGCCGAGCTTCTGGGGCGCAGACATGCCGTCGTAGAAGCCATTCCTCATGGACTGCCAGTTCTGGGCGTAGATGTTCTGGCTGTGAGGGTTGGGCTCCATGTTGGGCATACCCATCAACAGCCTCATCTCGGGAGGCAGATCAGCCGTGAAGATGGACTGCGAATCGTTCCCGGCGTACTGCGGCTGAGGTGCCAACGTCGCCGGCGTCGCCGGCGACGAAGCATCGTGTGTAAGCGTGGGCGAAAACTTGGTGTCAGCGTTGGTCGGCGAAACGGCCGACATGACCGAGCCGTGACGCTCGTGGTTGTGGGTCGGGACTGACAGGAAAGGTTGCTGGTTGAAGGCGGGCGACATGGGAGACTGGAGGTTCTGGGGGTGTGGTGATTGAGGACCTGGCGACTGGACGTTCTGCTGTTGATGCTGCTGCTGTTGCTGTTGCTGTGTGTTTCCTAGGCTCAGCTGGCGTGTAATGTGCTGAGCGTGCACGCCGGCATCAGGGAAGCTCTGCGCAAACAGTCGGTTGATGGGGTTCTCAGCCCAGGCGTCGTTGGAGCGCTGCATGAACTGGGACATGGCCATCTTCTTGGTCATCCAAGCCTCTATCCTGGCGTTGAACTCGGGCGAGCTGGTCTGCATCTGGGGGTCAAGCATGCGCAGCGAGCGTGGCAAATCATCCTCCTCCTCCTTGTACATCTCCTCCCTGCGGACAATCTCCTCGGTGACGCGGAGGCCCTTGCCAGTCCGCTTCTTGTGGATCTCGGACGCCATGCGAGCGGACTGGACTCGCGCCTCGATGCTGCGGTCCTGGCGCCTTGAAGCGGCGACGTACGCACGCTCCTGATTCCCCTCGTGAGAACGCTCGGCCTGGGTTTCAAAAGTGTTGGTGGGCCATATACATATAGTCACGAGCGTTGTGTGCGCGAACCGTGGCAGCACTGCACGAATCGCTGCGTGGTGAGGGTGGATTAGGAAGAGGAGCTGCGCGAACCTTCTTGACACCCGAGGTATCGGGTGCAGAGCTCTTTCTCGCTCCTGCGTCGGTGGCTGGTGCCGCTCTCTTAGGCATGGTGATTGAACTTGTACTTGATGTCGGCTTTGTTTGTTGTTGTGTTAGTGTGACGACGGCGATGATGTCGAGGTACGTTATTCGTGTCTGGATGGGGTAGCTGAATGTGGTGATGTATTGTTGGTGGAGGATGTGTTGGACAGAGGCAAGTTCCTCATTGAGCAATTTGAATGCTACGCTATACCAAGTTGTAACAGGGACAAGGAGCATCAGAAAAATAACAGGGGAGCCGGAAGGGATGGCTAGATATGGGCAAGAGATGGTTTAGTATCCTTTTGGGGTGGGCATCTGGCATCTTGGAACCATGGAGGCATGCATCATGCATGGTTCACGGCATGCGGAAGAATGGGTGGCAGCTGCTAGTCAAAGGCTGATATCAGTACCTAACTACAACCCGACATGTCCGTCCCTGGGCAAACAAAAGCCAGGCTACTTTGCTGAGCCCGATTGCGGGTCGACGATAACTACTACTAACTCGAGGAGAAAAAAGCAAGATACCAATCATTTGCGCGGTAAGGCTCTATGAGGGTTTCCTGTCCAACAAGCAGCGATCGATCTCGATTCAGGGCTCACAGCCATCCCCAGCATGCCAGTACGTACCTTGCCTACCTGGAGAGGGTCCGGAGCCGTCTTTCTCTCTCATTGGACGCGCCCGCAGCAGAGTTTTGAGCGAGTGCCCACGCTGTGGACGGCGGGGACGCCGGCCATTCGCCCTCAGACGGAAACGCGGAAATGCGTGGGCCAAGAGTTCTTGATAGAGAGCACCACCCCCCACTCCTTGGACATATCTCGGCGTTAGGTGCTCGTGCCTGTGTTTCTGATGATGATCAGAACGTGCGTTGTAGGCATGCTGCTCGCGGGGCAGCATGTCCAAGTATCGCCTCTTCATACCTCGTTGGGGACGAACGGTGAGCAAGGTGGTCACCCCAACCAATGTTCGAAAGCAGGCCTACCCTGCGAGCCGGTCAAAGCTGGCCGCAGCCCTTCCCCGATTGCAGGTGAAAACAGGCAACCAACCAACAAGGCTCCTCCTGGATAATGATTATTGAGCAATGAGCAACGAACTACGGATGAGCACGTTTAACCGATCGCAACAAGCATGTTTGCGACCCTAGACGTTCCGCCCTGACGTGAGGATCGGTAAGAGGGCGGAGACCTCAGGCAGACAGACAATGGTTCATCCAAGCAATAAAAGCCAAATGTCCACCTCAGATTTACCCAATCACATGCTGCCATTCCTCGAGTCGCTTCGCCTCTTCACAATCGCCAGCATCCCTACCTCCGGACACGCGTATGAATGAAGAGGGACTGGAGAGGCACTGCTGATCCCATGCCCCCATGCCCCCATGCCATGGATTGCTAGGCGTCTCCCGCTCGCGACGCGATGAAATGAAATGCTCGTGGGTGAACATTGCGGCCAGCCAGCCAGCCAGCCAGCAGAGGAGAGCAGACACAAGTAGCTCAGCGTGCAATGACGCGAAACAACGGGTGCGCAGCGATATTCTGACGCCATCCCCCAAACTCACCGAGTTTAATTTGTGGTCATGGCGCCCAAGAATCATAACTAATGCCGGCGACGATCCAGCGACTATTGAGGTCTATTTCACAAAGCCAGAGCATGCGCTTGGTAGGATGCCAACGAAAGTGAGGGTGGATCTCGATGGCTCTGGACAGATTGCGACTTGCTTCTTCAAGGCTTTTGGGCCAGGAATTACGGGAGGCCCGGTCAACAGGGAACGGAACGCCTACAAGGGAATCTATACGTCTGGTCTCGGTGAAGACGTTCATGTTGGCGGCCTCGTCGGTATAGCTCACGAGCACCAAAGCGACAGCACTGTGGGGCTACTGCTTCGGTACATTGACCACCGCGGGACGCTCTACGACGTGGTGGATGATAACCCGGGGCCGGATTTGAGGAAGAAATGGGCAGCACAGATTGAGAAGGCAGTGGCTGATTCACAAAGTGGGCAGTATCTGGGGGGATGCGAAGCCGGATAATATCCTCATTGACAAAGAGGACAACGCTTGGCTCACCGATTTCGAGGGCGGTTACACTCACGGTTGGGTTGACCCTGATAAGGCAGAAACCGTGGAAGGCGATCTACAAGGACTGCAGCGCATCATGAGGTTCATCTTCGAGGGACCTCAAGCCGATCAATAAGACTTCAAGTCGGAGGACAACCATGGCCACGGACACGAAGCCGGCCTCCTGGACGCAGCGACCTTGGCAGGAGAGACCAATAGTTTGATTCAGCTGCTTCTAGCTAAGTTGGTGATGGCAAGGCAGACTGAGCACAGAACCACGAACCGCTGACTTTGGTTGATATCAGCACCATCCTTGATGGCTGACTTGGGTTGAAGCTGCGTGTTTGGCATCCATAATGAGGTCTAAAGCGATGCCAAGACGGCGAACGGATAGCGGAGTGGAGAAGGGGCTTCGTTGAGTATAAAGCCCCGACTATCTCCCACCGCGTATAGTCTCTCACTCTCGCCATCATTCTGCTAATCCAGCTTACTATCCCGAAGTGCATCCCACATTGGTCTTCACCGAAGTTCCTCTCGCCGAGGCCGCTCAAGGTCAGCAACAAAATCTTTGAGTCAAGAATCTTCAAGCTAAAGCATGAGTAGGCCGCATTCGAGTTTTGCGCAGATCTTAGGCGGATTTCCGTAACGAGGTGGCATTACAAGGACTCGCTAAGGATGATTCACTTTCGTTTGGCCTATTCGTCATTTTTATGGTGCCTATATCACTCCTATTGTTTCTTTACTTGTTTCCGTGGATATTCGGTTGCTAGTTGAGAGGGAAGAGGGGCATGATCTATCACCCGGCTGGCTTTGTGTTGCAACTTCAGTCTCTGCGAGTTCATGACGGGCTACGCGTGCCTGCACGGCGTTGGCGTACTGGGTTGGATTCCATTCCTCGAAGCATCAGCATTTTATTTTCAGGATTCGATTCATTCTTGAAGTGTATGCGGGCTGGGAGGTTGCAATGTTTGCAGGATCACTGTGGAGCGCCGGGCGCACAATGTCGTGGGTACATCGCATGAGCTTTGAACAGGACAAAGAGCCGGACATGGAAACAATGCAAAAGATGGTTTATTAAGAGAAGAAACGACTGAGCACAGCATCTACCTGTGGTTTGTTCACTGGTGCCTCCCGCGCAGATGCAAGTAGAAATATCGGTCTTGTGGCTGAGGCCGATGCGTACAAAAAGGACATACGAGAACTCCTTGAGAATTCCTCAGGCTATTCTCGTGCAAAGGTAGATTCCTCCTTGTCAGTTAGTCGTTAAGCTGACCGCTGATGTCGCTGGTATCTCATAGCCCCACTTTGGCCTCTGGACGAGATGAGAAGATGCTTGGGAAGATATCGGAATGCCGATGTTATTTTGCATCGTAAGTGATAATGACGCGCTTGCCATTGGTGTACTCTGGTTTGCGAGGGTGACTGTTACAAACTCGCTTCGCATAGGGGGCAAGAAGCGTTGCGAACGGCTGCGGCTGTCGCTGATAGGGGGAGATGCAAATGGTTCAAGTGCGGCAGCGTGTACGAAGTACTAGTAGGAGCATCATCCGCCCTGGCTTGCATAGAAAGCGTTTTGTCGCGGAGTTGATGGAATCGGCTCTGCTGCAGGTAGCGCTGGGTTTCCGTAGGAGAGAAGGTCCGAGCATGAAATCGGCACGCATCCGTGTGGATAAACGGGGGCTCAATTGGATGGGGTGGATCCATGCCTTGTCTTGCACATGTCGTGCTATACGTGTCTTGCGCCTGAACCACTGAGGCATGGTGATTGCGTCGATGCACAAACTCTGATGAATATGGTCGCTAAGCCAGCCTTGGTCGCCCCATGCTGACCGAGGCTAACGGAATCGGGGACGCATGGGAGAGAACGGGGCTGTTCAGGGTAAGCTTGTCTCTAGATCTTGGCTCCGTAGTGTTTTTAACGCACCTGCTCCCCCCTGTTGATGATTCAGAGTCTTCCGTTGTCAAGTCAATGACCTCAACTTGCCCCTTCCCAGGACCCAGCAAAGATTGACCCGGGGACTTGTGCATGCTGTGGATATCATGGCTCGGTGATGCAATGGCTTGATGGTGGGCATCGTTGGTCGGTTCGGGATGGTTGGTGTAGATGCATCCGCAATCTTGGATGCGGGCGTTGGCTGTCGCGTCGTCGGGAAGACAGGGGATGAGGAGCAGTTTGCAGTTTTCCAAGCGTCCGGCGCAGGGAGGGCATGAGTAAAGAGCAGCGTGAGGATATTTGAAACTTACTAATGAAAGCAGTGCAGACTTCGAGGTCCGTCACGGCTGCCGGAGCAGCATTTCGTTGTCGAAGGTATCCACGTACCATCTCTGCATGCGGGATACCAGCGCTGTCCAAGTTCCCTACATCGAGTGGCGCAAGGTCCTTAGCACCCAACCATCCCACGGTACTTTTTTCTGGAAAGCCTGAGCCGTTGAAGTAGGCAACCGGAAATTTGCGCTCCGCAGTTGTTGGACCCCCATCTTCGTACCCTCCCGCCCAACTAAACGCCATTGTTCGCTCATCATAGATATAACACGGCGGTATCGCCTTGTTTAGGCCGAGAGATTTCATTGTGCCGCACATGCCGACCTCTCCAAGGTCCTCAGTGGGTAGAACTAAGATAGCCCAGCTTTTCTTTGCTTTGCCTCAAAGTCCACGATACAGCTGACCAGCGCTTGGGTCGGCTAGTGGATCATACTCAGCATGCTTGCGTCGCTTCTGGGTCATCCTCGCAGACTGTCGCTTGTGCTTGCGCTTCTGACACAACACTGTGTGACCAGACGCATTGTTCATAGCCACCAGGCCCTCGTCACAGTTCAAGACCTCGGTACCGAAGTGCTCAATGACCACTTCTGAGTCGCGAGACAGTCGCCCGTGTTGTGCACTACTGAGATGCGCCCCTGCGCGAAGGAATGCCTTGTGTCTAAAGTCGATGTCATGCTCATCGCATCGGAGAATGTACCAACTACTAGGCACTTTTGGGTGCTGCACTAATGTTTTCTTTCTCTGTGCATGGTCGTTGTCGAACACTTCATCAAAATAGACACACCGTCCACTGCTACGGATGCAATCAATCCGTGCCTGTTTTCCTGGTCTAGGCGGCCGGTCTGCATCGCCCTGCTTTCGCTTCTTCAGCTTCGTTCACAAACGTTCCAAGCGACGAAGCCTAGGGGGCGCAACTCACATCTCCGGTCGAAGGAAGGCTCGGCGTGCTATATGGCGGCCCTCTGATTAAAAGGCTGTGCACCGCTCTTTGTATTGGTTGGACACCAATGGCTGTCACCACTTCCAGACAGAAGTCTTGCAGTACTTCGCAAAGTTCTTCATGGGATCTGACGTCGGTTGCCGCAACATTTGCCCTATTTTGACGTCGAGGCTGGTTTTACTGGTTAGTGGCCGAAATAGTATTGCAAAAACGGAATATTGATGGTAGAGTGGAAAGATAAGACACCGTTCTCGCGTACCGAGTGTGGTGATTGGCTGATCTCAAGCTCACGTTGGATTCGGGCGACCGCGTGGGCCGTCGGCTGGAGCATTTGCTGCAATACTCGGGTTTCCAATTTTCGATCAGACATCAGGAGCAGTTTCATAGGTGACACCGTTGCAGCATTGGAAGAATTGAGTTGGGGCGCCCGAACCTACGGGGGCTGCGGCCATTTGTAGCATTGGGCCTTCGACCCGACACATTGGATCGATATCTGATTTGCTGGGTGGCAGGTCGGAACCAACAACACAGTCCATGAAAATGAAAAAGCTCACAGGCAACCTACCATTTCTGACTAGTCACGGGAAACGTGGACGCGTGAGGTCATTGGAGACCGTCAAATTCTAACTGCTCAATACCAGCACCCAGGATTTTTGCACTTGAGCAATAGCTTTTGATGTGATGTAGGATGAAACGTTCGCAATGAACATCCTGCGTACAGTGTGATTCGTGGTGTCACTGAGGGGCAAACCAATACTCGTGCGAGTAGCAGGTACGGCTTGTGCCGCTCGTTCAGGACTCGTAGGCACCAGGGCCGATTTCCACGTTCAGCAGTGATCCACATTGCAGCGAGTTGTCTGTTACACATATCACGTGACATGCCCCAACCTCCGTGCACTTGTGGCTATTCTTAGTGGCAGGAGCATTGCCTGAGATAAAGTCATATAATTCAATACAGGATGCAATTAATATTATCACCGCAGGCAGCAACAAAGAAAATCTGTCTTAGGCACGCCATCTGGCGATGGAACGGAACGCTGAATGCAGCTGCGGGTGCGACTAGGTGATCGAACGCACCAAATTCCCTGCCCTTGATTGGTGTACGAGCCACAATGGGCTGCGACCCGCAACCAAGCGTATTTGACGAAAGTACGGCTCCGTAGAAGATGAAAAAGGTATGATCAACGAAACTACTCTGAGTGCAGAGGAGACAGGCCAGGGTCACAAGTCAGGGGCCCCGGCTAGAGCCATGCTGGAAAAGGAGACGATCAGCCAAGCTAATTGGGGTGTGGAAGAGACAGACCGGGGCTCCTGGTAAGAACCAGTCAGAAGTGGACGTGGCTCACCAAACTCCTTACCGGTCTATTGGAGGGGGCCCAGGCCCCCTGACAAGAACTAGCAAGAATAAATGCGGTCGACAGCTCTTCTTCCTGGCGGGGTGGGGAAGTCCGGGTACCCTGGCAAGGACGCGGTCAAAAGTGGATGTAGTTGACTGCGCTATTCAGGGGTACCTGGAGCTCTTCGATACACCAAGAAAGAGCGCGCTGTCTATTACATCCACTTCTGACTGGGTTCTTGCCATGGGGCCTTGCACAACTCCACTACACCAACAAGGAGTCTCTTGGCCACTTCTGACTAGGTTCTTGCAACGGGCCCTTGAACTTCCCCACTCATCAAGAACAAGCATAGTCGATCACGGCCACTTACTCAGTTTCTGCCAAGGTGATCAGCTACACCTTCATGAGTGGTGGGCAACGCATCAGTCACCCCGGCCACAACTGGATGCCAAACCAATGGCATCAACCACACCCTTCCGAATATGGAAACCGTGAAAAGCACCCTAGCCCGACTGTTGATGATGGAAGCAAAGGTGGACACAAGTGGACGGCCCTTGTAGACGGAGCCGACGAACGCTCCGCGTCCGCCCACATCGCTCGACAGACAAAGCCTCCTTGAGATGAGAGACTTGCAGACGCAATGTCAATTCTGGCGAGATGTGTAGGATTATTGTTTCACATGCTGCTTTGGTAATGAGCAAAATCTCACACTTCATGTTTATCCGCGTTTGACCACTAGCAAGCGCCAAGTCCCCGAAGGCATGGAAGTAGATGACGACGGCACCTCTGCCCCAGCGGAAGAAGAGAAGAAAGACGCGGCGCCGAATGAGGCACCTCAGGAGCGTGGATCCGGTCAACCTGACGAGGCATCAGGAAATCCCAGATCCAAAACGAATGCTGCCGAGCCGCAGTTCAAGGCCGAAGAAGATGATGGTCTTTTCCTAACGGAACACCATACTGGAAAGCAGGCGCACACCGGCGACAACAGTTCTGACGACCTAGAAGAGCTGGGCGACATCGGAAGAATTACCTCCGCGACAAGTATAGTCGACAGTAAGCTGGACATATCCATAAAGGGGCCCTTCGGCAAGTGGTATGCCATTTATCGAGATGGTCCGCGCCAAGCACCATACTACCACATGGGCCGCATGGCTGATGATCAGTTTTCTGAGAGTGGGAAGGAGAACGTGTTTCGTCTTGGAGAATCGGGCTCGGAGCCACGGATTCGTCGAGTCATCGGTTTCGTGGGGTACAAGACATATCATGATTATATTGGCCTGCTCAAAGCCTTGGCCCAGAGGCACTGGCCGGCGGAGAATGGAAGTACGCGAAAGAAGCCGCCCATGATGTTCGTCTGCGTGCAGTGGGAGGATAGAACAACGACCTGGGAGTGGCGAGGAAAGTTAAAGAAGCATTCTCAATTTGGTGGGCAAGCGAAGATAGTAGCCCCAAGAACCATCGAGTACGAGAATGTCGTGCTAGTGGAGGAGGGGGAGAGGATCCACTCCGCGGATTTCGCCTTTGTTGAGACCGCTGCCCAGCTTGCGAAGAGGCACCAGCAATGGATACTGGGACAACGCAAGAGCGAGTCTCGGTCGCTATCTCCGGGCTTGGCGCTTGACACTGTGGAGGTCGAGGGCAAGGATGCCCAGGACGACTAGACGAAGCGAGCTATCTGGGTTGCTGATGGTCAAACTCGCCGACAGTGCGTCGACGCTGCAATTCAGGTGGCGATCGATTACGTAAGATAGTGAGATACAGGGGCAAGGTTTGCTGATTAGTTTGCATGTCTTTGATTTATTTTGATTCGGTAGCTGGACTCCCGGGCGTTAGTACACGTGGGCTGAATCTCATTCTTACTGTTTCTGAACGTTCTCTCGTGATGGATGTGCTGCCCAGGCTTCACGAACATTGATTCATCATATGCTGCATGCCCGGCAAGATACTCCTATAGCAAACGGCCCCTTCTCCATCGAGATCAAGAGCCAAACTCGCGCCTGCCATCACGCTTGACCCGACATCGAGAGCATCAGAAGTGATCACATTTCCATAGATAACCTGTCTCATAACTCGGCTTAACTCACGGAAAGAATGCCCTCCTGCGAGCCGTATATCGTGAACGTGGACGAAGGACCCCTAAACCGCTGCTTCGTACCTGAGACTTTCCGCCACCTTTCTAGTGTCCTTTTAGTTTCTAGGCTCTCCTCCGTACCGTTGGTTTGGTTGCGACTGTGCTCTGAATGATCCCGTCCTGGCTTTTGTTAGATGAGGCATCGCTGGCCTACAACGCGCGACGTACTGGATGCACCCTTGTAGCGAAGTTGCTTCCGCAGCCAGCTCGCGTGCTACGTTCGCAATGCTATGATCATATAAGTATGGGGTCTTTCGAGGAAGGTGGCACTGCGTACTATTCCAAGCGTGTCACAATTTGTTCAAGGCGTCGCTCAGGACAGTCGGGTGTGGTGGCTTGTCTGCTTTTCGTTAGGGGCATGATCTGCACGGGGCATGAAAACTCACAACCGACTGTTGACCATATGCTGGCCGAGATTCGCGCTCGAGGCATGGGTAGCGTAGACTGGGGTGAAATCTTGCTGTTGCTGTGCAGCGTGTCCGCGTGTCGGCGAATGCGCTTGTGGAAAGAGGCCACGTCCCCAGGGCTGATAGCCAGGGTTCGCGCCTGGTACCGAACTATGGAGACCGGTCCCACTACCACCAGGCTCAGACGCCATGGAGCTAACCGTCGTGTAAGGCATGTTCATTGCGACGCAGGATGAGCGATGAGGATATACTAGAAGGGGAGAAAGGATACTGTGAGCGTGCTGGTCCATCCTATGCCGGGAGCTGCGATTTATACACCTCTCTGCGTCCCGATGCTTTGGTTCGGTCAATGTGCGTGCGACCAACAGCCAACAGCATCGACCTGATGGAGTATGGCTGCTCCTCTGGACGGAGACACGCTGCGCGCATCGATATCGCGCACTGGCTCCAGCAAAGCCAGCGCCTGTGTCGGGCCGTTGTCACGGGTGCACTGCCCGCGGACAATCTAATGATTGATATTTACGGTCTCAAGAAGCCTGAGAATGTGAGCGACTCGGATTATGAGATGTACACGAGCGGAGATCCTCGGGCTAAGCGTGCGCTTCCTCGGAGGGGAACAGCTCGTAGCACCTGAGAGGCATCAGCTGTTGGAGATACTATAGCCTAGAGCGCCATTGCCTCACACGTTGGTTTGGTGATGAGGAAATTTCACACTTCTACTCTGTTTGTCCGTATTTGCGACGTTCCCTATTCCTCGCGCCAGCTTTCTTCACAACATTTGTATTCACCTTGGTCATCGCTTGTTATTCTTACGGGCGGCGAGTTGTGACGTTCGGGACTGGACTAGCTACCGGGTAGGTAGTGTAGAAGTCGTTTCTGTTGAAGAGCACCAGGGTGTCAGTAATCGAACAGTTATTCGGCTCACAGTCGAGTGCAGTAGACGTGATCTATGCGTTGACAATTGTATTGATAGCTAGGGAGCTGGGTAGACACGGACTGTGGTGAAGCTGGGATCATTGCGCGAAGCAAATGATACCGCGCAATGATACCCGTGGATCATGGTGTTTTATGGATGACCCTGATATGTTTGGTGGAAAATAATGGGTCATGCGGCATGTCACGTGCAGGCTGCTTGGCGGCGCATGCGGTCGCATGTTGGGTCACGAGTCTTCGTGCGCCCAGCAGTTCGTCCTCGGGTGCCAAATAATATTGGCGTGCGCATTCCAAGGTGCATCCCATGAGCACGTTGGGTAGGAAGGGTAATTCGAGGCTGCCTTGTGAGATGTGGATACTGTATGGCTGAGCGATCACCGTCCAATCGTTGGCTTCTGGCCGAACGCCAGAATCTGTCGCAAGGCGTCACGTCCTGGATAGCACGCGACGACATGCAGTCTGGCCACTTCGGGCCACGAATAGATCGGCCGCTATATCAATGCAGGGTTCTTCTGGTAGCTTTCTCTCCCTGCGACTGCTATCGTCGTACTGTTTATCCGATGCGTCCTGTTTCTAGTGTGTACTCTGACGCTTTTGAACTGGAAGAGGTCGCACGGCAGCTTCTCGGGAGCGCTTATGATGATCATGCCGAAGCGATACGAGCACTCGAAAGCAAACGAGACGCGCTACAGCACCAGCGAAATATTGTACGTTCGTCATGGGCCACTGTGTACCAGTTGCTTGAAAAAACGGCCGATGCCGCTGCCAGTCTATCCCGCTCTCTTAGGGACGCACAAAGATTCATGACTTTGGAGCGCAACAAATGGCTGGCAAACTGCACTGCAATATAGTGCCACTCCAAAAATGGGCATGAGGTTGCTGTAAAGCATAGGCATCGGGCTGAACCGTCTCTCACTTACCACGCAAGATGACCCGAGCATATTGTCGTTTCGACGGCGACGGATTTGTTCTGTTTCTCTCGACAGAGGAGGTTTGCTCAGTATGTGGCTCGGCCAGAAACTCCATGATGAGGATGCAACGCCTGTGCTCTTCCTGCAATAGGTTGGGATTAGTCCTGTGGAGCGGAAATCACCACTGGAATACCGAGGACTGTCTACTGGAGACCTTGCTGGCTTATGAGGAAGACACATGTGGACGTCGTGAAGTTATAGTAGGCCGTACTCCTACAGACAGTCCGAAGATTTCATAAGGGGTACTAGAAGCCAAGTCTCCACGAAGGCGGCCGTATCGTGCGTCTTCTTCGTGCCCATGCCACCAACACAAAATACAAACACTACGGGCTTCCCCGACTCCCTTAAAATAGGTGAGAACATGATGTTGTGGCTAGACAAATTCCTAACGAGGGAGCAGGCACTTATTTGAGACATCCAGAGGCCGTTACGGAGGAAAGCGGTGCGTGCCCTCGCTCTCCGGTTGTGTGGAGTACGGCCTTGATAGGACAGAGATGGAGATGCCGAGTGCAGCGAGTGCCTTCACTGGGGGAGGGCACAAATCAAGGAGCGACGAACGGAGGCGCTTCGCGCTGACTTGATGACTAGCTGGAGGACGCCTGTGAAATTTCTCATGTACCTTGCCTCACCATTCTCAGCAACCGTCTATCCTACCGTCGTCTATTCTATAGTCCCCGAACCCGTTCCTCTCACCGTAGGTGCTCACACTACAAGTAAATCATGCTGGCAGCGCGCGTCCAACTATGGCTCTAGATATTCGTGTGAAAGGCAGGGCTCCTCATCAAATATCTTCCATCCAGTTCGGGCGGTATTCGAACCAAAGACAGCCTTTGCGCTTGGTGCCGCCCTTGCCACCGTTGTTGCAGTCTTTGAAATTGTCATACATTAGATCGTAACAGCCGGTAAAGTCTTGCTGTTGATGGAATGTGCATCCCTTGATCCAGAAGACGGAGTACTGGTAGATTTCATCGTTGTCACCTTCGTACAGAGACGTGATGCTGTCCGACTCTTCCTTCATCTTGTGTTTGCTATACTGTTCGCAGAAGTCCTTCGCATTCCGCTTATGTGTGTCCTCCAGGGTAAAGTAGACGCCATCTTTGCGGCAGAACTGAAGCGAGTACTCACTGTTCTCGCGCAGTTCGTCCCCCCCGGTCGGCAAGACCGTAGTGAAGGCATCTGCTGGTGGCGTACTGTAGGTTGTGAACGTTGAATGTAGAGTAGTCGGCGTGGCTTTCGATGGAGACGAGCTTGGAGAACGGAGCGCGGTACTTATCGTCTGACGCGTATGCGTCGCAGAGGGACTTTCGTCCACGCTCACGCTGGTATGAGTGTCGGTTGGAGAGGTCGTTGATTCCTGCGTTGGTGTGTGGGTAGGGGAAGGGGTGGCTTCGGAGCTCTTGATCTGGGCGGTCCCTATGCTTAAAAGGGAGGATGCTATGCCAGGCACCGTAGACGTGGGATCCAGGTCGGCCGTGGGCGTAGCAGAAACGGCTCGCCCGTCAAGTATCAGCGTAGGCGTGCACGATGAGGTAACCCAGGTCGCCGGCCAATCCACGTCACCCACGTACGGGATGGTGTACTGTGACGGCTTGATTTTGTTGACATCTATTCCCGGGTTGAGTCGCTCGATTTCGTCATAATCTCTGAGCTTCAGCGCATACAAGGCATCGATGAAGATTTCCCCCGTCTTCACGTCCCACATGCCCACATCTGGTTTCCTCACGCAGGCTGCGGCCGCCAAGGCCACGAAAGGGGTGATGTAGGCGACCTTCATGTCTATCGAGTCCAGTCGCGGCGTTGGCTCTTTGCTCGTGCCTCTCCGCGGGGCTGGCTATATACAATCCTCCGACTGCTTCCAGCCATCGCCTCCATTCGTCTGTTTTGGCCGTGCCAAGGCAACGGCGTCGTGGTACCTGGGCACGGTATCCGAGACCCTGAGGTCAAGGTGCGAGTACTTCAAGACCCTCATCTCCTTTTTCTGCCCTTGGTGAGGCACAGTGTTCCTGCTCCTCCCAAATACACCCGGGGGAACGCACGAACTTCTACACACCAAGCCTGGTGTCAAGCGAGGTGGATTCTTAGATCATGATGTCTTTTCGTACTATGACGCCCATGCTTATGGCTCTATTGCCTCTGCGCATGGCTTTGGCGGAGCCACCGACACAGCAGGCGCTCGACGCATTTCCTATCTGCGTGGTGAGTCTGCCGCTGGCTTTGGCACAGTTGCAGCTAACATGGTGTATTGAAGAGTGATTGTATCACGGCAGGCATCATGGAACAGAGCTGCGACGCGGCTGACCTACAATGCATCTGTGCGAGCGATACCCTCCGTGCGTACCTCGGCGCATGCGTGGGTGTTGCTTGTACGCCAGCGGAAGCTCTCTGTATGTGACGAAAAGACTTGACTGTTCTTTCTGACCTAACCATTGGAAGCCGCGAGGAATATCACCACTGCCCTTTGCCATTCCTCGGCACGAAGTCGGTCTGGTCAGCTTGTCGTGGTGGCGTCCACGATGACAGGTCTGGCCGTGGCCTTTGCCACGGCCCGCCTTGTTTGCCGGCAGTGGGTGGTCGGATCTTCGCTGTGGTTAGATGACTGGCTGGCCCTTGGCGCGACTGGTACCATCATCGCGAGCGCTTTCATCAATATCTATGGCCTGGCTGGACACGGGCTGGGCCGGGACATCTGGACCCTGTCGGCAGGCGAGATCACCGCGGTTCTGCGATACTTCCACACGATAGCATGGCTGTACTTCCTGGACACTGCACTGGTGAAGTTGTCCGTCATTGTCTTCTACCTCCGCATTTTCCCTACTGTCGCCGTACAGAGGCTACTCTGGGGCACGTTCGCTGTGACGTGCATCTGGGGTGCGACATTCATCTTCGTGGCTGTATTCCAGTGCCGACCCATCGATCACTTCTGGAAGCACTGGGATGGGATGCATCAGGGCTCCTGTGTGGATGCGAATGCTGTGGCCTGGGCCAGCGCTGCGACGAACATTGCCCTCGATCTATGGCTCCTGGCGGTGCCGCTCTGGCAGCTGCGCACTCTGCAGCTCCATCGGAAGAAAAAGATTGGCGTAGGCCTGATGTTCTGCGTTGGGATCTTGTGAGTTGTCCGTGTAGCCTCGGACGGCTTGTCGCTGACACGATTGCGCAGCGTCACGGTCGTGAGTGCCCTTCGGCTTCAATCCCTCGTCACCTTTGCGAAGACCTCGAACATGACGTGGGACTACTATCCCGCCTGTCTCTGGTCCACCATAGAGGTCACGGTGGGCTTGATGTGCGCCTGTTTCCCGGCTGTGCGGCAGCTCCTGGTCAAGGGGTTCCCCCGCCTGGGCGAGTCCGTGCGAACCAAGACTGGAGTTCTGTTCCTTTCGCTCTCGCCACAGTGTCAACTCTGTGCCGGTGTCCAAAACCCATAGGAGACTCTCCACATCCACCCAATCCCAGAGCTGATCCACGGTCTCGGCCCGAACGCCATGGAATATATGGCTGGACACCCGAATGGTCAATAGGACTTCTAGAATGACGACCTCGGGCGACCACGTCGTCCGAACGTGGCGCCCGCGGTGACGTCGCTGCGGCGCGAGGACTTCCATCAGAACACGTTTGCACGTTTGCACGTTTGCACGTTTGCCACGTCGACGAGCGCAGAAGAGTGCTATGATATAGCAGAAGCACTAATTCTGCCAGCGGCGTTTACTTATATGATGTGCCTTTGCTCTCGCCGGCTGGAAGTAGATTGCTAGTGTATCCGACCACAAATGAACAAGTGGCTGTGCCCCCGACTATTCACTACGATAGCTACCGCGTGCATGTAGCCCTTAGCATCGGAGAGGTGCTCGATATTATTGGTTCCATGTTCTGTACTACAGTATGTCCTCAATGCAATGGTTAGCATAGCGCCAAGTGACCACGCATGGCAGGACGAGCAGTGGATGGAAGATGGGCGCTGCCAATATCTGGTCCACGCCGCCGCTACTCCAACACCACTGCCTTTGGAGAACTCGTCGCCCGGAATGGTATAATGTGTGTCATCCCTTGAAATCATGCCGTACGAGCCGTCTTTGCCTGAAATATGCCGTGTCAAATCGATAGCCTCCGACATGTGCTCCAGACGGGCTCCTCGTCCGCCTCAAGAAAACGCCGTCTACAATAGTACATGCCTCACTGCGACCTGAGCTGTGGCACAATGACTGGCGGTCGCAGGATTACCTTGCTTAACCTGTGTCAGACTCCTATACTAGAAGTTGGAAACCATACGATTCATCACAGCTTGTAGTGGTAGTACCTCCGCACTGACAGCTGAGCCGTGTGGAAGAGATCGCAGAGGATCTCTTTCGGCCACCGAGGCTCCTTCTCCCATATTTGTACGAGAAAAATGGTCTGCTCCCGTTAGCTCTGCGCGTCTGTGATCGGAACGACTGGCTACTACTGCCCGATCCTGGTTTGTGTTCGACCGAGGTAACCATTTCGCTGACATCATGATACCCAGTCGCTCTCCTTGTAGATGAACTGTCTTAAGATCCTCGCCGCCGTTCATCTACACCGTCGTTTGGAAACTGCAGTTGCGTAAAGGGAGGATGATGACGCTCACAGGTGATACAGTAGAAGACATCGAAGCTTCGCCTGAAACATTCTGGAAGAATACACTGAAGACCGAGCTTTCCGATGTCGTAAACGAAAAAGCGCCGGAGCCCCATTACAAGCCAGAAGAGACAAGAATAACGATATCAACGAAGCGGCCCAAACAGAGCTTCCAGAAACGCTTCGGCACACTCAGTATCGATTGGAATATTGTGGAAAACAAGCTGCGGTCTTGGAGCCACCTTGGCAGCAGTCTCCACGTTGAAATCTCGTTCATCTACAAAGAGATCCAGCTGGATACCACAAATAAAGTTGGGAGAACCGGCCGCGGAGCGACGAACAAGCAGTTGGCTGCAAGAGACAAGCTCATCGCTCAGCAACAAGCCTCCGGTGTACGTCCCGTCTGGAAGGAAGTCTACGAACTTTTCGAGTGCTCCAACGCCGTGTGCCCAAATCGAGGGTTTTCCTGCTGGCGGGACCCAAGTAATAAGAGACACGTGAAATTAGATTCTGATACCATGGACAAACTTATTGATTATGCGGAGGAAGGCAATACGCTCGAGAAACATGACGACGTCCCCGAGCCAATCCGCGACCGGATATATAAACATGAAGAGGAGGAAACCACGCGCAAGAAACTGAAGCGAAAGGCGTCTGATCCCGTGCCAAATAATATCAATATTTGCTGCCATGGGCATCAGGATGGAGGCTGCGGTGAATCATCGGCAAACGCACGCAACGCTACTCGTCGGTCTGGCCAAGCGAGGTTGGCGTTCCCAATGCCGGTTGATGAGGCTCCAAAGTCCTACTGCGATTGGCTCTGTAACCAAGTGACGAACAAAACGTGGAAGGATGCCTATCAATTAGCTTGCCGCGTTACTCTGGAGAAAGGCTATCATCTCGGTCGCATGTACGAGGCGCAGGCCGTTGACGCCAAGATGTTGGCCACTAGCGGGGTATTGCCGGGCATTGCTATTCAATTCGTGAGTCGGATCGGAGATTGGTTGGATGATATCTGCCCAGAGTAGATGGTCTGCAGGCAGACACAAGGAACATCTAGATCGATGCCCGATACATTCAATTGTTTTCCATCAGATCGCACTGCTGTTTGGAGCAAAAGTCGCTCCCTCTGTTTGAATGCAAATGGTTTCATTGAAAAGGGGCAGATTTCGGTTTTTCCCGCAAACCCCCCCTCCCCGAAGTTGATGGTTTACGGAGTAACTGAATCCACCAAGCCCGTGTTAACCTCTTGACTACCTCGACGCACTCCTGATGGTTGAAATGCGCCTGGTTGAGGCATCCGTTGCTGAGACAGTGCGACTGACATTTTAGGGTACTTTGTCGCTTGGAGTACGTAAGCGTCAGGCCAAAACCTGACCCCGCTCCGACCCCGCTTCCTACCCTCTACATATAATATTCACCATTACTCCGCACCTTTGCCAGATTATTACATATGAGGAGGAAGAGACCTTGTATGAGGTAAGTGTCACGTGATTCATACCTGATGTACGTCAAGCAACGTTGTCTTCCTGATTTAGCAAAGGATCCACTGCCCGCGTTCTTGGGCTCCACCCTTTGGGGGTCTGTTGTGTCCCCCGACCCAAGTCCTGTGCTTCTTTCGTTTCTTCCTTTCTCTTTCCCTTAAATGTAGCAAGTGCTTCATCTTTCGGTGTATCCCAACATGCGCGACGGCGATTTCGACTCACATGAACATGTGATAGACGATGATTTCAACTTGGAATCCCCATCACAGAGAAGCTTTGGGAGCCCCGGGCCGCAGCCCGCGGTCCACACACAGCCGCAGACCAACCAATCGAATCTACCCTTACTACGACTGAGTGACTGGGATCCCGATCATCCTTACGACGAACGGCCTCCTACCTGCGTTCATTACAGCATCGAGTGGAAGTTGTTGCTGAACAAAGGGACAGTCACGAGCAAAATTGCAAGAGATACGGAGAAAGACGTCGTCCTCGCCCCTCAACCTTTTTGGGAACGCACCCTGAGAGCAAAGGTGGAAGATCTCCTGAAAAGGAAGACACCCCGAAACAAAGTCTACGCCCCCGAAGAAACGAACGTTACCGTATCTGTCACCAAACCCTCCGAACGAGACTATTCGCGACGCTTCGAGCTTTTCGATGTTGGTTGGGACAGCATTACGAAACAACTGGAGGATTGGAGTCATCTACATCGTTCCGGTAAAAAGCTGAGGATCGACGTCTCGTTTGTATGTGTCGAAGAGACCCAGCCCAGCATGATCACACGCAGTATTGCCCGCCGAGGAGCGACTGGTGCTCAGCTTACCGAACGAGAGGGCATTATGGAGCTGCAGCAGAACACTGGGCAGCCAAGCGTCTGGAGCGCGGTGTATAGCCTGATGCGGTGCCCTGGACATCCGTGCAAAAACCAAGCATCTTACTGCTTTCGCGATCCTGACACGAAAAAGCACTGGCCTCTCGATAGCAGCGACCTAACCAAGCTCGTGCGCTACGCCGAGGAAGGGAGCGACCTCAAAACACATAAAGACGTGCCAGAAGCTATTCGCGAACTGATATATGCAAAGGAGCAGCAAAAATTGGAGCGTAAACACAAACGCAAAGCGACGGCTGACCCCGAAGACAGCCATCCAATAAAAATCATCAATGTTCTCCCATCCTGTGATCGCCGGCATGAGGCTACTGCAGGCGCCGATGGCGCCGATGGTGAGCCGGGATCGGTGGCGTCAGCGGGCCGTGCCGCCGACTTTTTCATTCCGGAGCCGAGAGACAAGGCTATACAAACCTACTGTCAGTGGCATTGCAATCGTATTATTGGGGCAGAGTGGAAGAAAGGGTTCCAAAAGGCGTTTGCAGTTGCAATGAAAGAGTGCCTCGATTTGAAGCACATATATGAGGATCAAGACGTAGATTTCTTTGTGCAGAACGGCGTTTCGCGAGGCATTGCTAGGTCATTTGTAGGAGACATCAAAGCGTGGGCAAGCGAGGTTGACATTTCATAATCTTTGTTTTTGTGGAAACATTACGATTGATTGAATCTCATTTTCTAATCTTTTGGAGCTTGTTCAACGAAAATCCCTGAATGACGGAAGTGACCTTCAGCACTTGTCGACCGTGAGCCCACGATGTCCACAGCCAATCTCACGAAAGCCTCGAAGTCCTCTTGGAAGAGTTCTTCGTGATTACGGCTCTCCTTCCGTATGAATACCTTAAGCTCGGAAAAATACTCTTCTATCGGGTTCCAGTCCGGAGAGTAGGGCGATAAGAATATGTACTCGACTCCCGCCCTGTCACATAGTTCCTTTACTCTACTCGAGTGGTGAATAGATGCATTGTCCATAACGAGTACAGATTTGGGCCCTGGCCATCTTCCACAGTGTTGCAATAGCTGCTCAATAAAATTTTCGAATATCTCAGCATTGGTAGAGCCTAGATAAACATGGGCGAGCTCGATGCCTTCTTGCGTATATGCTGCAAGCACTTGCATTGTCTGTCCACGACTATAATCACCTTTTCGGCCAGGACGACTACCCTTCGCTGACCATCCATGCCGCCGACGTGCAGTTCGTCTATTTTGACCAGACTCATCAATGAAGATAAGTTGGTAAGATTTACAGTTCGATAACTTGTATTGATACATGTCGCGCAGCATCGGATTTTGTTGCTCTCCCACTTGGCTGCTGTTCTTCCGGGACCAGCCGACACGCTTGGGAAAACGAGAGACGTTAGAAGTCGATACCTGAATATCAAACTCAACCTTCAGAAATTCAACCATCTCTGACAGAAGCATGGTTGGATCTTCAACCAGCTTTTCGGCCAACGCGTCTTGCATCACAGGCTCGATTTTGCCATGACGCCCAACACGAGTGAAAGGGACTCTAGTGGATCCATAAAGCCGCACGTTGTGTCGAGCTCGTGTGACAGTGCGCTCCTTGCAGTCAACAGCTTTCATAATATCTGCGTTTGGACAGCCGGTTTCGATCATTGCCTTTAACATGTCATGCTCGGCTTGAGACAGGACTGGGGCCATATTGCCTGGGGAGAAAGGGGGTTGTTGGGGGAGGAGGATGAGGCTGAAGTTTGAAGGAAGGAGGAATCAACCGGCCGTGAAAGCAGCCAAAAGTTAGCTGCTGAACCTCGTGAGTCAGTATTTCATCACGTGACTCCAGAGCCACGTCAGCAGGCGCTCCTTCTGTCTAGTGGATGTTAGTTTCGCCGAACCCGGATCTCATGGAAGCCGATGGAAGAAGCAGTCGCATGTGTTGTACTCTCGCCTCGCAGCCTTGTCGAGCTCTGCAGAGCTTGCAACCACCTTTCTTCATCTGAGTCGTATCGGATGACCAACGGCGCATTTTCTCTCTCCGTTGTTTCCTTATGTCGCTCAATGATCTAGGCGGGCTTATGGTGGAAAACATTTTTGGCGAGCGCTTCCACCTCAGCCCCGTCAGTGTTGAGGGGACGCTGGCTTTTCATGCGTCTCTGACGGCCTGAAGGAACTGCCAAAACGAAACGGGTCAAGCCCAAGAGGGCGAGGAACGGTGACAGAATAGGGTTATTGAAAGGGAATATTCTGGAGTGGAACGAGTGTGGGTATTCTGTCTGAATATCATGTATTGACACTGTGTGGGCTATCTCAAACTGGGGACAGCTCTTTGTCAATGAGGAATCTCCTTTTACTCTACACAGCACATTTAGTCTCTTTAGAACCCCGTTCTATGTAAAATCCTGCGGTGCGAAAATGCCCTTCTGCAATATCACTTCGCTTGCTTAGCGTGCTAACGCAAGCCTTGACGTACTGCTCAAAGCTCCTTCTCTTGAGACTGGCGTGTTCTTCGCCTTTCGACGTAGCAACCGTCTTGAGCACCCCGAAATGCTCTTCTATCGGATTCGTCCTCGGCGTGTACGGTGCCGTCATGAATAGTCCCACGCCTTTCTTCTCACACATGTCCTCTATCTTATCTGAGAAATGGAATGATGCATTATCCATGATGAGCACGGACTCTGGCTCTGGCCAGCTCCCACAGTGATGCAGCAGCTGCTCGATAAAGTCCTCGAATAATACCTTGTCCGTCGTTCCAGTAAATACTCTCGATAATTTTATACCTTTCAGGGTATATGCGGATAGAATTTGAACTCTGTTTTCCTTCTGAAACCTGGCCTCGTGAACAGGTGTGATGCCTGACTTAGCCCATCCTTTTCGCCGCAACGTATCGGGTGGATTGATGCCAGACTCATCAATAAACACGCAATGCTGGGCTTTAACTCCAGCTAGCTTGAGCAGATATTGGTAGAAATGCCGCAGCTCAGGCTTCTGTTGGAGCGCTACACGCCGCATTATCTTCCACGTTATTTTATCGGATTGCATCGCTCGCGTGATGGTCGTAACTGATACGTCTACTTTAAAGCGCTCATACAAGAAAGATGCCATCTCACGCCGAGTCATATTCTGCTTCTTGGCAAGTCTGTGAAGCAACGAATCAAGCATCAACGGGGTTATTTTGCGGTCGGGCCCGGTACGGTTCGCTGGAGTAGTCGCTGTGCCATAGCGTTCATGGGTCGACCGTATTCTGCGGACTGCTCGAGAGGTAACAACACGGTCGGGACTAGACACGTCGCTGGCTATCTTCTCGCTGGTGTCTCCTCTGCGGATTTTGGCCAGTATTAGGTTGTGCAGGTGCTTTTCGAGACGGGGAGCCATAATCGGACAGTTGTGACGGAAGCAAGAAACGTGAGGTGAACCCACCCGCCTCTGAAAGAGTCGAGGAGCTTCAGTGGTTTAGGCAGCAGCTTACGGAGATAGGCGATAAGCCAAATTTCAGCTCTGTTAGTGGCGGTACTTTGCGGTACCCAAGAGCACTGTGTAGCTGCCCCACCTACCTAATCTGGATTTTTCTTGATGTTAACAAGGCGGACGCTGAACTTGGACTACGCTGTAGCGATGGCGCACGACAATGGTTGTCAAGGCCATATCTAGTGAATTGTCCAGCTCCACACTTCCTATTACAGTCGTGAGCAAATGCAGCTTCCTATTCACGCACTCTGTCTGTTTATGGAGCCTGGGTCGGATCTATATGTACATGAATCTACCTCGATGAGCCATAATAAGCCGCGCTCGCGCTGCCAGAATAGCCGGGTTTGGATGAGCGCTAGGTGCTGCTGGGTCACTCAGAGTGGGCTGCAGCCCGCCAATCCGGCGCCATGTGTCACAGTGTCTTTCACACGGCTGAATACTTTCAGTGACCGACAAGACGCAGGGTTCTATTGGGTACTTTGCCGTTTCAATGGAGTGCACCGAAAGGTATCCACAAAATAAACACTGTATGGAGCCATCATGAACTTTCGTGTTATTCGATTCGATAGGAAGCTGCGAATGCTCAAGACTGTATACCGTACCTAAGCCGCAGACCGCCATCCCAACGATGGACAAGAAGCAGCTTTTGGACGCTGAGAACAAGTGCGTATAGGCGTCCGCCAGGATACCGCTATAAATCAAGCGCATCGTTGCGATCGCACTTCTACTTGCTCTTCCATTGCCTATCAATTATAATGCCTCAGAGAGAGGAGATTGTAGGACCACCAAATCGTCGTAGCAAACGGAAGACAGCTGTGTCTGGTAGCAACGAGGTTCAACATGACAAGTACGTGCCTGTAATTGCCGCCTTCTTCTCTTCTTCGCACTCACAATCTGCAGCTTCTTCGCAAAGGAAATTCAGCGCCACAAGATCAATGAGAATGTGTGTTTGGGCCATGGTGACTTGTTGGCCAGCATCACTGACTACAAGCAGGGGTCTATCGAATTGTTGGTCCAATGGGAGGACTCGAACGGGACGTCTCTCAGGACTTGGGAGGTTGAAGATAGGCTGGAGTAAGCTTGCATTACAGGCTTGCGCAAGGGTACTGAACTGACGTGCTAGGGACTCGCCTGCGTTGGAAGAGTATTTTGTCCGTCTAGGCGGACGCGAAAGGTTGTTCAAAAAACAAGTCCGGCGAGGACTGCGCAGGAGGAATAGCGACTCACCCCTGGTCCCAGCCCGGAGGTCTCCGCGATCCAAGACCGCGGCTCTTGCCAAATCGACTGAATGGAGTCCTCCAGAACGCTCATGAGAGCAAGAGATTGCATCCATTGACGGTTGTGAAGTGGAGAGTGGCAGGCTTGCCGTCTATGTCTCCTGGGAAACCGGCCATAGGACGAGGCATGACGCATCAGTCTTGTACAAAAATTGTCCCCAGAAGGTGAGGATGTGACGGCCAATGGCACGCTGATAGCACTGCTGCTGACCAAGACAGATGCTCCGATTTTACGAAAAGCATATCAAGATCATCGAGGAGTAACTTCGATATCAACCAAACTACAGAAGAGAACAGACGCGCGGTCGCAGGATTACCTTGCTTGACCTATGTCCAGCCTACTATACTAGAAGTTGGAACTATTTGCCTCGTTACGGCTTGTAGTGGTAGTTCCTCCGCACGGATCGCAGAGGATCTCAGATCGGTATGAGGACAATGTTCTGCTCCTGTCAGACCCGCACGTCTGTGATTGAGACGACTGGTAATAGCCCACCTTGCGCAGTCGACCAGCCTGTCGCATGAAGTGATAGCAGATTGAAAGTCAAGGATGCTCCACTCCTGCCAACCGGTGATGTCCTCCACGCCTATCCTTCCCTCTCCCTAACGCGTACCACTGCCTGAGCTTCATGGTGGCCGTGCCAATGTTCGTGAGATTCTGTTGCTGCCCCTTCCAACTAGCATCCCTCGCTCAAGTGGGACGCCTTTACAAGACCTCAGCTATCCTTTGGGTGGTCAGAAGGAACAGTTGTTCCCGTCCAGGGGCACGAATCCGTACGTTTCGCCCCGTACTTGATCCGATCCCATAGTGCTCCACCGCGAACTTCCCATCCAGATTGCTTACGCTGGAGACGATGGTCTTCTTCAAATGCATGGGGATACCATATCCAAGCTGGGTCCTGTGATCATTTTTGGATGTTTCATTATTCTTCGAGGACGCCCACTTACGATCCGAAGAAGGCCATCGGACGATCACACCATATGCTGCCTTAGCTTCACATTTGAAAATGTAACTATGATCGATGCAGAATCTAGTTTCTTCCAGAAGCCGAATATTCTCCTCACGCAGCAGCCTTTCCGAAATTGAGGTGCCTTTCTTTTCCACGGTCGGCTCCATCACAACAACGTGCCCCCCGCAAGACACGAATTGCCCTGGTACGGTGGTGACAGACGTCCACGAACATTGTCATGCCTGTGGCACACACAGACAATTATGCTGAGGAACTTGTTTCTGGTGTTATCGCTATCAAGTGTGACGTTCGATCGAAGCTTGGCTTCCTATTTAGTAGAGTGATTGTGAGTAGTCGACTATGAGCGACTACGAAGCATGGCACATGGTCCTGCTGTTCTGGTCATGATAGGTGGAAAAGTGAAGTGCACGTGAGAGGTGCATGCGGTCGCATGTCAAGTCGGAACACTGCGCTTCTAGACGCTCCGCCATGTGAGCCAACCTAAATATGTGCCCCTTTCAGCTGATTGCTTCAAGCCAAAGCGTTGGGCCTTTCAAACCTCCAAGGTCCGGTAGGAAGCCCGTCATCCATAGAGACAAACTCTCGCACAGCTGGACAGCCCGGTCGCTGAAACCTATGATAACGCATTCGGCCCGCTTTCCCGTACAGCAGAATGGAACACACGTCCTTCACCTCGCTGGTCGTTCTCGGTGTTCGACCGCTATCACATAGCCCGCCGATGTGGCCACCACCAATTTCCCATAGCGTTGGCCCCCCATCATAAAATAGAAAGGCGGTTTTCAAGGCGCCTTGGAGCGAGTCCTGGAGTGAGAATAAAAGATGGGGGCGACTGATAACGATTCGATCTCCGTCACGGAGGGATGAGATATTAAGGGTCAGCCTCCATTCCGGAAAGTAGAGCTC